TCACATAATCTTAATGGGCAATAATGGAACCAGAGTCAAGTCTGGAGGCAAGAACCATGGAATATTATCTGAAAGCAATGTCTCTATGGCTATATTGAAGGCATTGGAATGGCTGATGGTTGATAGACGAGTTTCATTGTGCCGATTCTTTTCAGTTCTACACCCAGTCAAGAAAGCTTGCCATCTGGGTCCAGTCCAAAACTTGTATGACTGGCCACCGCATTGACTCCTTGCTGATACATGTGATGTATGTGATCAAGTTCAACACTGCCCTTGAATATTCTACAATCAGCAAAGACCTAGGAAAGGTAAGAGTTTATGGATGCGTTACTAAATGTTCAACTCATGCTTGCATCCAGCTTTTTTTTAATTTTGATCCTCTGGTCCTAAACCTCTTATGCTTCCACAATAAGGAGTGGATAAGAAGATTCTTCATATGACCACTACATGCAGAATATTGGAAGAATGGGTCATCTATGAAGCAATGCTGATGGGGATCAGATGAGATTGAATCGCAAATTAAAGGATGTCTATTGAGGCTTCTGGCAACACTACACATTCATTGTTGCAGCTGCTTGCAGTTTCATTCCATCATATTACTCCAGTATGAAGACTACTCTCCAAAGAGTTCTACGTTTGCCAGCAATGGGATGAAATGAAAAGCAGTGCAAATCAGATGAGTGGAAGTGAATTTGATGGCTGCATTTAAAGGTCCCAGCTGAGAATGCTTCTTCTGGAATTTTGATCAATTGTCATGTTTATCATGTGCTTCCACCATATAGAAACACATAATGGTTGCTCCATACAATGGCTACATTCTGGCGACTGCTTGGGACATGGCGGAGGCAATTCTGATGAGTAGAACTGGATTTGATGGACAAGTTGGTGGGTTCCAACTCATGCTTGCTGTGGAATTTTGATCCATCATCATGCTTACCATGTGCTTCCACCATATAGGGCCAATATGATGATTGTTACAATCAATGATTACATACTGGTGAGCAATTGGGACATGGCCACGGTAATTCTGATGAGTAGAACTGGATTTGATGGACAAAATGGTGAGTTCCAGCTGATGCTTGTTGCGGAATTTCAATCCATCATCATGCTTACCATGTGCTTCCACCATATAGCTCCAATATGATGATTGTTACAATCAATGATTACATACTGGTGAGCAATTGGGACATCGCAGAGGCAATTCTGTCAAGTATGGAACTGGACCTGATGGCCCAGTTTGTGAGTTTCAGCTGATGCTTCTTGTTGGTCAAGAGTTTCAGTTGATTGTCATGCTTACCTATGCTTCCCCCAGGGTACAGATCAAAGAGAATGAATGCTCCAATGTATAAATATGCAACAATGGCGCCGGACTGG